GTTGTTGGAGAATGTGGAGAATGAGTGGCCTTAGAAATTGACTGAATAAAAATTTATAAAGAAATTGACCAAATAAGCACTTCTTCCTAATCATTTTAAGCATGCATAGTTCTAGTACTTAGTTTCCCTTACTCTGCATGTGTAAAGCTCCTTTTAATATATATAAACTGCAGTCCCAGCCCCCATTCCATCTTGAGAATACATTCTTTTCAAATACTTCAGTCAATAAGGTTCTGTTGTTGTATTCCAAGTGCAGATTTGTTTTGATAAATTGATTAATTTAGGAGAAAGTAAGACAGTTCCATATCTTCCTCCCCTCCTCCAACCAATCTTTCTCATATGGTATTAAATTTTGAACATCCATTAGAGGTACATTTGGAAACACCTGAGGACTGATGAAAAAAATTTCCTGCTCTTAGATGTGTGGTGGCTACCAATTACAGTACCTTTTGGAGGACTATTAGACAAGTTCATGGCAAATAAAGCTATCGCAAGCTACGGTACTAATTCTAATGGCTGTATACTGGTTTCAGAACCAAAGGCAGCATGTTTTAAATATCAGTTGCTAGGGAGCATCATTGAAAGTGGGCAGTTGTTTTCATGTCCTGCTTGTGAGTTTTCTTGATGCATCTCATTAGCAACTGTGCAGCACAGAAGGCTGAACTGATCCTGCAGGATTGTTGTTTGGTATAATCTTTCTCTATTTCTCAGCTGTACTCACCAAGGGTTTTTGTTCACTTGACTCTATTTTGCCACTGTAAGAAGGAAAGCTGATTAAGATATGAGTTTTAAAAAATAGGATTGTGAGGGAGAGTTGTTGCAGAAAATTAAATAAAGGCACAATTGATTTATTTGAGGGAAAGAAAGAAACTGAGGCCTACCTCTTTTAATGTTGGATTCAGTGACGGGGGTGTAGGGTTCTATGGCATCTTGACAGATGCAAGTATAGTTTCAGTTGTCAGACAGGGAATCAAGCTGTTGGAGAACAATTCCATCTATGTTATTAGTATTAATCCTTCTTAATTCTTTGAGAAAGACAGTGGGAAGAGAATATACATCTTTAAAAATACTTTTTACACATTCTTGTTGGTCTATAGTTACAAGATTTTTAAGTTACAAAATACGGCCATAATTTTATGGGCCTGTGGTGAAGTATGATGAAGTTCTAAAACAATTTATATTGTTGTTGTTGTTGTTATTGTTATTATTATGCTTTTCTCTGTGGAGTTCCAGGCAGTGAAATCCTGTCAGTTGGATACCTTTTGAAAAATTAACAGCTAAACCAATTCTTAGTGAAGATATGTATGTATATCTCTCTCTCTGTGTTGTATATACATACACACACACAAACACATACACATACTTACTGTAGTTTTTGCAATACAAAAATTTCCAGTTTTTTCTAGGCACAGACACAGATGCAGCCTTTACACGTGTTTAAGCAGGTCATGCAGTTATTTCATAGGCAAACCACATCTATATTTTAAATTTCTTCACCTATACCATCTATACCTGTAGCCCATATTCTCACAGCATACATGACTTCTTTTTCTTAAATATTGGCATTTATAGCATTTGTTTCAATTGCACACTTTGACAAATCATTGTAATTCTGATAAAAATCTCTACAGTAATCCTAGTATTCCTTCAGTTTCATCTCAAATTATCAGTTTTATGATTAAATTTTACCTCATTTTTTGCAATAATCATTCTTTTATATGCATTTTGTTATCATCCATAGTTTCTTTCACTTTGTCATTCTACCAGGCATCCATTTTCATACTTCTCATTAGTGTAACTCCACCCACTTAAGTGACACTCTTCATTTAATTACTTTTATACTGTTCCAAGATGTTTTCATATCCTCATTACATCCTCTTTCCACTTGTTCTGTTGGAAGATGAACTTATCTTCCAATACTTTTCTGTGCGGATTTGCCCTTTCCGTTCCTGTAATCATTCTACTATTTCTCTTGCTTTTTGTGTGTGTTTTTCCTTTTCTTGGATTCCATTTTTTTCTCTAAGATCCACTTTGGACATTCCTAAATAATTATCTATACCACATTCAAAACTTACTACCATCCTTGTATCCTTCATTAATTCTTTCAGTCTTTCATCATGAACAATCAAATCAGTCATGGTTTTAAATTTGTTCAGTCTGTTGCCATATATATGTGCAGACTTATGCTTAGCCATATATTTAAAATAAGCATACTTTTTTCCAAGTAGATACTCACCAGACATCAACTATTCTCATTCATTTTGGAGTTTCCAAATGGCCCAGTTGTGCTTTCATTTCATCCTCTTGTCTCATTCAAACCTATTCATTTATGTCATGTAACAACATATTTTTTCCTTCTAAATTGCGTACATTCAGAACCTTGCATAATTTTTCTAAAACTCATTGTGGTTCTTTCATTATCATAATGCAACTATCACCCATCTATGGATATGTGCTTTTATATGCATCCACTACAACGTTCTTTTTCTAATACTCCATTTGGTTTTTACTTTCTTACCTTTGATGTCCAGTAGACAACAGGAAGTGAGCAGCTGCTATAGCAGTAAGAAAAGTAAAAAAGATAAAAAGGAACATTTATGTTCCTCTGCACCCAGGTTTGCTACTCTATTTCCTATCTTTGTCTCCCATATATTGACAAGAGGAAAAGAGAGAATGAGTGCTCTTTCATTTCATGTTTGCCTAGAGGGAGTGCAGAAGTGTCATGGAAATGTGGGTAAGAGTAACGTGGAATGGAGAAAGACTCAGAGAGAAAGGGAAGTTAAAGTTGCTAAATTTTTGCTGCCATTAATGGAACTGGAGCGGATAGGTAGGTTAGAGGGGTATGAATTGAGAAAACACATTTAATTAAATTAATTACAATGTATATATGGTGGTCTGTGACCATAATAAAGATTTGTTTTGATATGTATTTTATTAAAACATTAACTGGGTTACTATCCTATGTAGCATTTTGAGAAGTAGCCAGATACTTCCTTAGAACCCCAAATGTGCTTATGAGCCAATGCAATTGTCTAAAACCACTCAGTGTGCCTATTGTTTTCAAAATACAGGACTCTCTAGTTCCTGAATGTTATAGTCTTTGCTGTTTGGCTAACATCGACAGCTTGCTAACAGATCTTGCTATCTCAATATTAGCTTAATCAGTCTTCTATTGCAAGCTTTGTCATAGGGCACAAACTTGTTACTTCTTTCCCTAGCTAATGCCATAGTTCAGATGCTCTCAACTTTTAGAAAAAATGTTTAAACAATTATATTTCTTAATATAAGTCAAATTTGCTATTTTGGAACTTGGTTCTAGTACAGAGTGTAAGGTCACAAATCTCATCCTGTAAATTAAGAACTGAGATTCAGAACTGCTTTAAAATTCACTTTATGGCCATGTAATGGATGTTTGAAGGCCAGTATTATCTTTGTTGTACCAAAGTAACTTGTCATGCCTTATGGCTTCAAATTAACTTCTCTCTCTATTTTTTCAGTACAGACTTTGCAGTGAATAAACACTGACTTCCACATAGTAAAGATAATGGTTACAATATCATGTCCACTTTCTGTCTTAGTTCTTTTTGGCTTATGCTGAATATGTATTTTTCTAAGTATTTAATGATGCTAAAACACTGCTGTTAGGCTAAACAAATATTACATAACATTATTGAGCTGTGAAATAGGGGGAGAAAAAGCTTATACTGCAATTTAAACTGATAAGCTTTACTCAAGAATAGTCCATTTGAGGTATTTTCTATAAGTAAATTGAATGTTTGCCATGCTCTCTGAATCAGCTAGTTCAGTGCCATAGCTAAATACTGGGCTAATCTGGTTTATTTAACTGCAACAGATGTCAATGATGAGCTATAAAGTTATTTAAAAAGTATTTTTAAAAGTTGAACTAAACCTTAATGTTTGAACACTAGAGGTTATATACTTACATATTTCTTAAAAGTATATGATATATATCTATATTACATGTTCTATGTAATTTAAAGTTTGCAAATTAATCTTATATTTTTCTGATTTTTAATTGCAAATTACAAATTGCCTCTTGCATCAATTTTTGTTTTTTAAAAAATAAATTCATATTATATATACAATCTTGAAGAAATTTCCAGGTAGGAAATATGATTTCTATTTAATGTTACTTCTTTTGGACAAGGACTCAAAAATATCCACCCAAGTTGCCCAGTTTTGTGCTACCATCTGTACGATATGCTACCCCATTCCCTAGGTTTGGAATTTCTTATAATAGTATTTTATTTTGATTTATTTTAGTACTTTTATTCTTAATTATTTTAGACCCTATTATATTTACTGTTTCTCTGTCGTGTGTGTGTGTATAGAAGGATGTAAGACTGCTATTAGATATTTTGACCGTATCTGGCCTTAGGGCTGTGATAAACTTCATTGATTGAATTCATTTGTTGTTTTAGTTTAACTTTTAGCCTTAATCGTGAAGTTTTAGCCTTATGTTTTCTGTACTTGGGAAATGTATCTGAAGTCTATGTACTTTTTCAGAGCTAATTAATATATGTACCATTAAATCTTAAGAAATATTAACAGACAAAGAAGAAAACTTTGTGTATTATTTAGTTGTACTTTCTAGTTACTTGAGAAGCAGGCACTGATTGAAACTCATGCATTAAATTGGAAATGAACTATCTAGCAAAATTTTGTTATGTTGGCAATACAGTACTTGTGTCCTAATTTGACAGGAAGAATTAGTAAAAATGTTCATGGAAGAACAAATACAGTGCTTAAATAATGATTAATGATAATTCTATGTGTATGAGAACCTATGTTTCACTTTAGGATTTGTGTTTCACTGTGTGTGTATATGAAACTATATTTCACTGTAAGATTTAATTAAGAATATATTTGCATAGGAGTATATTTTAAAGAATTGCATCGATGAACTTTTAAAGTATGACCAACTAAGTGTGTGACCAACTAATACTTGATTTTTCCCCATATCTTTGTTCTCTCCTTAGTAAAATAAAGCAAGGTCTGTTGCCTAGCTTGGAGGATTTGCTCTTTTATACCATTGCAGAAGGACAAGAAAAAATACCAGTTCATAAGTTCATCACAGTAAGTTTTTTGTTTTGTTTCTAATAAATTATACACTAAGTTAATTGGCCAAATCTCTTTTGAAAAACAGTATATAACACAGGTTTGCTAATCAGGTAATGGGAAGGTTACTAAAACTGAGTGTTGCAGAAGTTTTTAAGTTTTAAAGAAGGCTGTACTATCATTTCACCCACATGGTCAAATTGAGGGAGTGTGGTTATATGTATTTTAAAACAAAACATTGAAAATAAAAATGTCTGTCAACTATCTATTACAGTTTATTGGAAAAGAAGACAGGTAGGAATCAGAACCAATGTTATCTGAATTAGTGTTCAGCACAAGAAATATTTGTGATGCTTTCTTTATTTTACAGGCTTTAAAATCTACAGGTTTACGCACATCTGATCCAAGACTGAAAGAATGCATGGATATGTTAAGATTGACCCTTCAGACAACATCAGATGGTGTCATGCTAGATAAAGATCTCTTTAAAAAGTAAATATTTTAATTGATTTGTTACAGCTTGTTTATAATATGGAATAATTAGGCCAGTAGAAAGTGATGTAAGTGAACAGTGATCAGAAATATTTTTCAAAATGTAATTCTCCCACATATGATTTCAGGGAAGGAGAAAGAGTGCAGAGGAGACCAAAAGTATGCATTATGTCAGTAGTGGTTATCTTTCCTTCAGTAAATTATATCATGGAATACAAATCTGTTGTCTAGATTTTAGAAGCAATTCTAGTACCTCTATAGTGAAAGGCAGTATATTATATGGTATTTTCACTCATGTAATAATAATTTTTCATATTTCACAGATGCGTCCAAAGCAATATTGTCTTACTAACGCAGGCTTTCAGGAGAAAATTTGTCATTCCTGATTTTATGTCATTTGCCTCTCATATTGATGAGTTATATGAAAATGCTAAAAAACAGTCAGGAGGAAAGGTAAGTGTTTTACTGAAAATAATTGGTGGCAATATAGGGGTGGGCAAGCTGCAGTCCATAGGCTGAATTCAGCCTCTAAGAACCTTGTTTGTGCCCTTCAAAATATCCTGAGATCATGCCACCAAAACTTTGTGGAAAAATAAAGAATTTTCTCAGTGTGATTTTCATTGATCTGTGGACTCAAGGATGGTTTTAAGTACAGGTAGTCCTTACTTACCGACTACTTGTTCAACACCTGTTCGAAGTTACAACAGCACTGAAAAAGGAGATTTACGACCGGTCCTCGAAATGGCAGCCATCGCAGCGTTCCCACAATCATGTGATTGTGATTTGGGTGCTTGGTAACCAGCACACATTTACAATGGTTCCAGTGTCCCGCAGTCACATGATTGCTATTTGCAACCTTCAGAGCTGCCTTACAATAAGCAAAGTCAATGGGGAAGCCAGCAGGAAGTTGCAAGTTGCAGTCACATGACATTGTGCTTAACCCACAGTGATTCACTTAATGATTGCAGCCAGAACTGACATTGTAAGTCAATGTGGTCACTGGTGTTTCACTTTACAACCTCATCACTTAGCGACAGAGTTTTCGGTCCCAATTGTGGTCAGTAAGTGAGGACTACCTGTACAAGTTAGGGATAGGCTTCTGTGAGATCAAACACTCCCTATTCTTACACCCTTCCAGTGCCCCAAAACAAGTAAAAAACAGGTCAAACATATTCTGTCATCGTATGTTTGAGGCTTTCTGCAGTCTGCAGGCAGGTTAGGAAGAAGTTACCCCGTCATGTGCTAGGCTAACTGCTGCATTTAAAAAAATCTAATAATTACAGTTGGAATTCCCATTTCATTATATAATCTTAAAGTTGAGGGAGAGATGATTTGCCTAAGAGAATCCCACAAAAAGGGTATGAGTGCACTTACCATTCACCTTGTGTTCCCGAACAACTGATATTAAGAAGCATAGATTGAACAGATTTTTGTTTTCCCTGATCCCTTTTCATATGCAATTGAATGAATATATATATATATGTTCCATGGTTTTTTAATTGGAAATGATAAATCTGTGCATATCTCCTATATCTGTGGACATCCAAGAAAGTTGCACAAAGGTATTACTCCCCCATTTTTTCTCTTTTTCTTTATGTGTACATTTTTTTAATTAAAAAAAATCCAGTAGAATATTGGAATGTTTGGGACAGTAAGTTAGTTTTTGTTTGGTGTTGGTTTTTTAATTCTAACCGGTAAGTGAGTAATTTTTTCCCTTCTACCTTTTTTTTTTTTTTTTTTTGGCAGCAAGTATTCTGTCTCTAGATTTTTTTATACAGTATTTGGGTAACAGGAACAATCATAATTTTATGTAAAATGCTATCTAAAAAAAATCAGATTACCTAAAACATTTGAAATAATAGCCTACTTTTGAAAATCTTTCTTTAATAATAATTTTATTAAAGATTACAATTTACAACAATAAAAACTAATAAAATCTAAAAAAAGAAAAAAATAGAAGGTGCATAAATAGAAAAAAATAGAAAAGAAAGAAAAAATAAGAATATAGCAAAGAAAAAGAAAAGAAATATATAAAGAAGTGGCTTCCCCCTTCATCACAAGTATAAACAATTTTAGTAACTTATCACCTTCTCTTAAAATACAACAAAGGATCTTCCCATATCCCATCTCTTATCTATAAACAAATCCATAAAACCTTGTCATTTCAGTCCTAGTCAACAAAAATCCATTAAGGGTTACCAGAGATAACAACATAACTATATTAACCTTGATCAAATAAACCAACTTTATATTCTTTCCTTTTACTTCTAACAATCTTGATCTTTAGTCCCTTCAAATAATGTCCTAGAACTTGATTTCTTTTCATTTTTTCTTTGTTCCTTCTCACAAAATTCTTCTTTTACTTCTAACAATCTTGATCTTTAGTCCCTTCAAATAATGTCCTAGAACTTGATTTCTTTTCATTTTTTCTTTGTTCCTTCTCACAAAATTCTTCTTTTACTTCTAACAATCTTGATCTTTAGTCCCTTCAAATAATGTCCTAGAACTTGATTTCTTTTCATTTTTTCTTTGTTCCTTCTCACAAAATTCTTCAAAGCTTTAAGAAGCCTCTTTTGTAAATCCAATATAGGAAAATTATTCAGGTCACTCTCTTGGTTTGTTATTTGTATATTCCTTTTAATTATTAAAACTTCAGCTGGTTTCTTTTGTATGTCCAGTGTGACATCTTTTTCCATGTTATTCTTATAGCCTGTCATTTTTAAATCCCTTTTCAAATCAGTCTCAATCATGTCAGGTAGTATTTGTTCTTCTTCCATAGCATCTTTTAAACACAGTCTATCTATAGAGGCAGACACTCTTAAAATTAAGTTCTGGGTCCACTGTTCAAAAATATCTTTCAGTATGTCCAATGTTAAAATATTTTGCATCATTCTGTATTAGTAAGTCAAGTCTGAGTTTTCTCCTCCTTTAATTGTAATCTTTAGTTCCTTCTAGTGTCCAATTTTTAAAGTCTTGCCTTATTTTTTTTTAAAGAATTCAAAACAAAAATACTTTCCCATGGAAAGGATTCTTTATAATTAATTCCACAAGCTTATTTCAAATTTATTTGGACCCTTCATCCATTTGTAACTTTCAAAAATCAAAGTTTTAATCACCTTTTTACTGTTTATTCCAGAATAAAATTTTTAAGTCCCTAAACTTGTATTTAAAACGTCTTTTGCTCAGGATTGAAGGAAACTCACCCAGAGCTGTAAAACATGTCAATCCAAAGGTTCCTAATAGCTAAAAAGCAGTTAGCAAGCAATTTCCAAAAGTGATTAGAAGAGGAAGCATGTGAACCCAGTGTCCTTAAAGGTGCCAAACGTGGTTTGAGCAAGATGGCTATTTCCTCATCTCTCAGAGTTCTAAACTCACTGGAGACTGCTGTCTTGCCAGAGAGGAATTCCTTGCCCAGAGAGGAATTATGAAGAGCCGGCCTACTTGCTGGCTCTTCGTTCTCCGCAGTCGTTAGCTCCACTTTTCACAGAGCTATCTTTAGTTTGTCATTTCTTCCCCGGAAGTCCAAAAATCTTCATTTCCAAATATTATAGTGAAAAATAGAATTTACCCACTTACTAGTACATATAAGTATTTCCAATTTTTTAACTTTATGAAACCACTGCGAGTATTTGATAGTATAAATATTCTGAAGGTTAATGTATGATCAAAGGGCTGTTATGGCAGTATTAAGAATTGAGAGTTTGTCAATATGCAATATGGAGTCATATTAAAAGCAGAGATGCACTTCCAGGGCAGGGAGGCCCTTATTTGTACTTACCAACTGGCTTGGAAGTTTTGGCATGCTGTAATTGTCAATATATGGGTTTAATATATTACTTGTGCCAGTGACTCTTGCATTCCTCCTTAACTTTAGCCTGATAAATATAGGATTTATATTTATAAACATAATATGTTTAGAGTTCTTCCCATTCTCCTGAAGAGAGTCTTATGCTTGCCGCAATAGGCTTGTTTTGTCTGCATTTTTTTTACCATGGTTTTAGGAAGCCATTTTGGTCTGTTCACATAATGTTAAGCTATAAATCGTGCCTTACAAAACATACTAGTTGGGATCAAATATTGACTGTGCCAATATTAAAATACATTATGGTTTATTGTGATGTCATAGAGTGGCACACTCAGTTGGGCTGATAACAGAGATTACGATCTCTATTTGAGATTTGACTGTTTGCAGATCATTCAGTTATAGACTTACAGAAGAAAAAGTGCATCTAACCTCCAGTGATCTCTTAAAACTAGTTTCTGTAAGCTTTACCCTTTTTCATATGAAGTGGGCAAGAACAAAACTATAGGGAACCTGTTTTTTTGTAGATCCTGTTTAAAAGAATTTGGGATAATTTGGGCGAGAGGTTAGATAAGCGTTTGTGCCTTTTATTATTTTAGTAGCTTTTTAATAGCTGTATTTTATGCATTTGTTATTTGCAGCTGTACAATCTAATCATTTTACATTGGCCTTGTTTTGTGTAGGTTGCTGACTATATCCCACAACTGGCTAAATTCAGTCCTGACTTGTGGGCAGTGTCTGTTTGCACAGTCGATGGGCAGAGGTATTGTATCTTAAATATCTAAACTGACCAAATAATTTTAGCTATAGAAATAGAAGCAGAAACTAACATGAATCTAATGTAAATGCTCAGTATTTTGCAATTCAGAGCATCCAGCATATATTATGCAATTCTTGAATAGCCACTCCACAACCACGAAGCTTTGTTTCCACAAAGATTTGAAATAGCACTTTCTAAACATACTCCTTTTAGTTTGAGCAAATATTTTGTACAATTTGGAGAAAGAAATTTTTTTCTATTGTTTTTAATTACACAAACTTCCATTTGCTTATGTTTTATCTTATTTACACAAGATCTTTTAAATGTTGTCGAACTTTGCTGAATCTTAATATGTTAGCATACTTAGCAAATATAAACAAAAGCCAGTTTCCTCTGTGAGATCAACAAAATCAATACAATCAGAATTAAATAGGGTAAAACCAAAATCTGTAGTGTTATTCAAATAACTCTTGAAGTAAGTCAGCTTTGGAAAGTTCAAGTCTGTTGTGGGTTATCTTTTAAATTGGCTTATTTGTATTTATACATAGGATTAGATACATGCATGGGAAATTTTAAATATCAGATTTGAGAATTGTAAATTCACTGATGGATGCTAACACATCATCTTTCTTGAACAGCAGGCTAGGAATCTTCTTTCCCAAAATGGCATTATCAAAACAAAAAATGAATTTGCTTTAATTAAATTTAATTTGAAAGTAATTTTAATTTAATTAGCTAAACATTACATTAATGCTATGTTATTATAATGTAATGTAATTAACTCCCCATGTATTTAATAAGTACTCCTACTATCACACAGAAATGACAATTTGACTACAACTTATAGCGGAGCTCTGGGAGCCCACACTAAAGACTCTTGGCTGAAAATTGTACAACCCTTCCTTATATGAACATAACTACATTTGTATTTTATCAGACCAAATAACTATCTAGTCTAGAAGGATATAATCATCATAAGATCTTCTCCCAGGCTTTAGGCTAGGGTGGCTGGAGCTCCTTGCAAGGTGTACATATGTTGCTGTTAGCTGGATTCACCATCTCATTGTTTATTTTATCTTATTATTTTATTGCATATTACTTTGTGTTTTTATGCTGTGAGCTACCCAGAGTTGACTGGAGTCCAGCATTGTGCAAGTCGAAATAAATAAGTCAAATTAAATAAATAAATAAATAACTGGTAGCCATTGAGATCATAACTAGTGGCCACTGAGGTCCTCCATGGAATTGTCTGATCTCTCTTATAAAGTAAATGCTGTATGTATTTTCTTATGAAAGAAAATCTCATACTAGAGTAAGATCATATGTATAAAAATATTTTACTTTAACAGGCTGAAAAGAATCACTGCAGCTTCATTGGATGACCACAGTTTCTGATAATATGATAAAGGGACAATAATGTTTCTCTCTCCACATTATGCATGCTTCCATCAAGTGATATGTATTCCTTATTCTTTTTATTAACATTTTATTTTGTTTGATTTTATTACTGAATGTAGACCCTGCCTTTCTGTTTATACCACCCAAATACTCTGGATGTTGAAACATTTCCCATATGGTAGTTACACCAGTTCTTTGATCATTTAGTTTTTGTAGCTATATAATGTTAAAAAGACACATTAATTATTTATTTATAACACTATTTGCTTATGTTTATGTATTGCAAGTCTCTCAAATAATTGTTCAGGATTTGCTAAGGGGTTTTGCTTTTATTTTTTAATATCGTAGAACTTGCTTTCTAAACAAATTACGTTAATAATGAACAGACTCTGTTAGGTGATCTTTTGTATTCCAGTGGTTCATAATAGAATCTTTTTCTAAAGCCTCTGCCCAGGATTTACCTCTTTATTTCTCAGGACAAGTGTGAGTGAATGCAGTGACTAATATAGTATTTAATTTACAGGCATTCTGTCGGAGATACCAAAGTCCCATTTTGTCTTCAGTCCTGTGTAAAGCCTTTGAAATATGCTGTTGCTGTTAATGATCTTGGCACAGAGTATGTACACAGATATGTTGGTAAAGAACCTAGTGGATTAAGATTCAACAAATTGTTCCTCAATGAAGATGGTAAGTTATGTATGCAATTACCATTTCTTAATATTTTATCTAATGAAATACATTAATGTGTGAGAGAAGGAAGAATTATCTATGCAACTTTCTCCAATATGGCCCATACAATTTTATAGGTGGTCTAACTGAAAATCCTTTATGTTTAAGAAATGCTGGAAAATGCCAGATGACTGGAGAAGGGCAAATATCCCTATTTTAAAAAGGAAAAATGAAACTATCCAGGGAAATATAGATCAGTCAGGCTGACATTGATATCTGGAAAGATCTTAGGATAGATTTGAATAGTTCAAGAACAAATCTTGTCAGATTAATTTATGATTTTTTTTAAAAAATTGACAATTTATTTGTCTAAAACATTTAAGGAACAGAATAAATAGCTACATAAAGGAAAAAAAGGTGGAAAAAGACATAGTGGATGAAGAATACAATATCAGTAAATAAATGACTTACAATTATAAAATTTAAAATTCATTATTTCATTAATTCAATGTATAGAACTAGATTCATTATATCATCTTAAGAAATAACTAAAAAGCTCTGTAAACCTCTGGATATAATATTAACATTGATATCACCATTGTCGTTGTTCCAAAAATAAATGCACATAATCATACAAAGGGAAAGAAAAGGAAAAGAAACTGAAAAAAGAAAAAAAAAGTTAAAAATAAAATAAATAATAAAGGAGAAAAATCAGTAAAAGCAATATTAAGTTCTAAATTCCCTCCCATTGTACCCTCCCATATATTAAGATATTATTTTGTGCCTTTCGAGTCAATGTTGACTCCTGGCTACTGCCTGGACAAGTCCCTGCAGTTTTCCTGGCAAGATTTCAGAAATGGTTAGTGTTTGCCTGCTTCCCAGGGCTGAGAGATATGGACTAGCCCAGGGTCACCCCGCTGCCTTTGCCAAGGCAGAACTAGAACTCACAGTCTTCTGTTTTCTAGCCTGGTGCCTTTACCAAAATGCCAAATTGGCTCTCTACATCTTAAGAATTTAGCAAATTGAAACAGGTTCAGGAAAGAGCATGAAGGATGATTGGGGACTAAAAATAAGTCCTATAAAAAGAGATTGAAGCAATTGGGAATGCTTAATCTTTACAAGAGAAGACTTGAGGGAGTGACAGCACTTTTTAAATAGCTGGAAGGATGGCATGCAAAAGAAGGTCAAGACCCATTCTCAAGTGACATGAAAATGGATTCATGTTACAGGAGGGCAGATTCTGATTGAATGCTAGAAAAAAAACTTTAGCAGTAAGAGCAGTTCTACAGTGGAATCAAGTATCCAAAGAAGTAGTCAGTTCTCCTTTGCTGGATGTATTCAGCTAAATCAACTTCTGTCAGAGATCTTTAATATAGATTCCAGCACCGAGCAAGGGTTGGGACTCAGTAGCCTAAATGGTCCATTTCAGTTCTCATTCAAATTCATTAGCTCCAGTTATGACAACACCATATTTCAAAAGAAGGGTGAGGAATCTGTAGTTGTTCATATGTTCCTAACTACTGCCCTGAAATAGTATTTGAGAATATATTGCCACATTCATTGTTGCTGTTCTAAAATCAATGGGTATTGTATATGGTATATATGGTGCAATACATTCAGTGCAACTTTTTTTCCTTTTTATGAGTGTTTCCAATTATTCCTGGGTTCGTTTTCTTTAATGTAAAAAGTGACTAATTGAAATGCATAAACTAGGAATTAAAACTAGTAAGGAACTATTTAGTACAGAACTGTTTCTAGCCACATCTGTGATTGATCAGTTCGGTTGTCGTGATTAGTTATGCATATATGTTCTTAAAGACATGTATTAGTGTTTGATGTGAAGAAAATCACATTTTTTGAATTCTCTTAACTACTGTCAGCAGTTTTCCCCACTAATTCATCCACCGCAGGCGACAGTACCAAATTAAAGCTTTGGAAATGTTTCTGCAGTACTTTGGAAACTGGTTCTGCTGCTCTGTGATAATTTCATAAAGTTAATTTGTGATCTCATAAGCTATTTCATTCTGAACAGTATACTAGGTGTATAGTGAAAAAATGTGCATATTTCCAATAATTTTGTCTTGATAATAACATTTCTCAGTTGCTATGGAATAAAATTAATTTTAATAGGATAAAATTAAGAGACTGTAATGGAAGACTATGCAGTTTTCCGCTGTGCAGTGGATTTCTTTGTATATTTGAGAGGAAATTTTGCTGATTTAGAAATGACCATGTTTTACATTAAAATAACACATTATTAGGTATTTGATCTAATCAAATAATTAACACAATAAGCTGCTATTTGCATTTTACATTAATTTTATTTGTGTTCAATAAATGCTATAAAGGCTCAAGAAATGTTTTCGGATTTTAGTGAATGCGTAATTTTGGAAATATTTTCTTCCTTTTCTGGTGTCTTTCTCTTTTTGTGTAAGAGAGTTTACATATACTTTAAGTATATTAAGTATACTTTAAGTATAGATTTAATGGGACATAGGAAAAACTCATAAATTGGCTTCCAGAGATATCCCCATAATTCTAAAATGAATCTGACACTTCCTTTTTTTTAAACACTAAATATATTCCTGGCAGATATTTGCTAGTTCTTTATCGTTTTTTCTTTCTCCTTACCCCACTCCTAAAAGCCCATCTATGAGTATCATTAGCTGTTGAATATAAGCAACTGTTCTGTGCTTGTAGATATATTTCAGCCTTGAGTTCCAAGTCATTAACTTCTTATAACTAACTAAGCTTTTGAAAGTAGGATACAGTGACACCCTTGGCAGGATTCCATGTGTGCAAGGGTTTGCAGTCTGTTCCAAAAGGAGTACGCATCAACTCTTGTGTCTAAAAATTACTGTCACATGCTGGCTCATTATTTCATTAGGACTAGAGTGCATACTCTTTCATTGACCAATGCTAAATAAAGTATACTGGTATCAAAATGTTACCTTAGTATTCAAACTACTGACCAAGAGTGCGATTTTGAAAGCAGCTGAAATTCAGTTTCCCTACACTTTAAACCCTTTAAAAAGTTTTAACACTTTTTCAAAGATCTTTGAACGTATTCTGTATCTGCTGTCATCTTAACCACTTGTTACCAGCACTTCTGTAGGAAAACTAGAGAACAGTAGGTTTTGTACTTGATACTGTGTTCTAGGTCAGTAGCAGCTCTTTTTTTTTTTTTTGCATACAAAATGATGTCTAATCAACAGAATAAATCTAGTTCAGCAATCTGACGTAAGACATTAATTGCAGTACAGGTAGTTCTCGACTTATGACCATAATTGGGACTGGAACGTCCATCACTAAGCGATGCAGTGGTTGAGTCACGTCCAATTTTATGACCTTTTTGCCATGGTCATTAAGCGAATCACTGCAGTTCTTAAGCAAATCCAGCTTCCCCCATTGTCTTTGCTTGTTGGAAGCCCCCTGGGAAGGTCACAAATGGCGTGATCCCAGGATGCTGCAACCATCATAAATACATGCTGGTTGCCATGCGCCCAAATGTTTATCATGTGACCATGGGGACACTGCAATGGTCATAAGTACAAGGACCGGTCATATAAGTCACTTTTTTCAGCACCGTCGTAACGTCAAACAGTCGTTAAATGGTTGTAAGTCAAGGACTATCTGTACACGGGAAAGATCACTTATATTAAAGCAATCTGATTAGTATTTTGTAGAACTAAAATCTAAAAGGTAATCATAATTACTTCTTAGTAATTAACAGGTAATTATTATTAAAACCATTTATATAATTGTTTTAATAATAATAGCAGTAGTTTTATTTATTGACTGATTCAAGAGCAAAAAGCAAACAAATTCTGAGACAACAAATAAAAAGCATCATAAAACTTAATTATAAAGTTGATGTGATCAAAGTATGGCATATTTCACAATCATCAAAACAAAGTTTAGCCATGTTCAGAGAAATAAAATCGCATTGATCAGACAGTAGCAACTATAAAATGCATCCAGGTGGCCTGGAATCTGACTTGATGGGAAGTTAATAGCTGCAACTGGGCATCTTTATGATAAGAGCAACATAGCAAAACATGGGTTAGTGTTTCAGGAACTTCTTCACCCAGGGGCAAAATCATTGTTCGAATGAGATTTCCCATAATTTTTCTTCAAAAGCCAGCTGTTGGAAGGACATTAAATCTTGCCCAAGTTAGGGCTTCTCTGAATTTGGGAACCGTTGTTTGGCTAAAATACCTGGCCAGCTTGAAAAAAAGTGACTGACTACCCAAGAGTACATCCAAGTCCTTGGTGTGCTGTTTAAAGGCTGCCATTGTGGTTGTGCACTCATATCCGATCATCAGTTGCATTAGGTAAGAAACTAGCATTTCAGTTTCTCATGCAGTGCCCTGCCCCAAGATGAAACAAAGTCATCATTTAAAATCAAAGTTGTTAAACCACAGGGAAAGGAAGTAATTTTAGTCAATGGGAGAGACTGTATATGTCCAAATATGAGTTCCAGCTTTTCAACCAGATGCTGCAAAAAAAGAGTGTGATTTAAGATTGAATGTCCAGCTCTAAAACCTGCTTGCTATTTTGTGAAAATGTTTTCTAATTTACCCAATCTGAGAGTTTATTGTATAAACCTACAATTTGCTTATTATGCTAAGGAGGCTAATGGGCTGGTAATTAGCAGGCAGATCCCAGTTGATTTTTTT